ATTTCATTTCAAGATTTTCTTAGAGGGGCAAAATTTAATCAGTTCGACATAAAAAAGACATGTTCAAAAAGTGACAAGAGGAAACTAGAAAAGAGGTTGGGTAAAACAGCATCCAAAATAAAATAGCAAAAAGAAAAGAATCAATAGTTTTATAGTACTTCTCTCTTCGGAGACCTGTCAAGAATTTAAAAAGACTGTGTACACAGAAAAGAGGTGAAGAGTGTTTTTAATTCGTCGGTCGATCTCTAAAAGAGAAAGCAACGATAACCGGTCAGCTGATTTTATAAATAACTAGCAAGACCCGTAAAAATTTCACGGTTGGCCTATTTGAAATTTCTGATGAATCTTAATTCTCCAGTTAATAACCGAATAAGCTCGTGGTGTGTTCTACGACAATAAAATATCCGTAGAAATTCTCCTACCACATCGTTAAATATTTGAGCTTAACTTTAACAAAAGATTGTAAATAACAATCTTAAATTGAAATCCCAATCGTTAAGGAGATACGAATGGAAAGATTTTAAATTGACAAGTTTTTTTCATTTTCTTCGTGATTTTCTCCTTGATGCCATTTTGCACTGACGTCTTTAAATTCCCAATTAAGAATTGCACCACTGGGGTTTCTTCTTGCGTCAAACCTGGTATGAACGCTTTCATCCCTTCTCGGAAATATCAGGTGAAACCTCAGTCATCTCCATGGTTCACACCAGCATGATTGGCCCCATAATGCACAGGAACCACTATTTCCGGCTATACCAGCGTGACGGCTCTTGTCACAACAGGTGTCTATTCGTTTTGCACGCAATAAATGTAAGCGTGTCCTAGGAGGAGAAAATCCCAGTTTTAGAAAGAATGAGGCACCGCATAGCCTCTAATAACTTTGCCTCTCGCGATTACTGGCGGCTGTGTAATAGTGTATTAAAAAAGAGTAAGGTCTCTATTTCTATTCTCTTCAACCAATTTGATGTTATCATTCTCTGCTGATAAAGCTGAATGCTTTGCCTGTAAATTCTCCTCAAACACTACTCTTGACACATCCAGAATATCCCTGCCTAACTTCCCGCCTAGAACTGAGTCTCTGTTAAGTGATATGCATATAACCCCTTCCATGTTTTCTACTATCATTCTAATCTTTATGCCTACAAAGCATGTGAACCCAATGGCATCCCTGTAATAGTCGTAAAGAAATGTGCCCCCAAACTGGCTCCTGTTCTCTCTAAACTGTATAATAAAGGGCTTGCTGTCTCCTGCTTTCCGGCTTACTGAAATTCGTCATCTGTTGTTCTAGTTTTTAAGAACTCTGGTGAGTCGTCCGACCCTTCCAAATATTCTTCTATTCTACTTCTTTTTGGCAAACACCAAGAGGCCCTAATCAACGCTGAATTAATTCATCATCTCTCATCGCAGGATCTTTTCTCACACAAGTAATATGGCTTTTGTTTCTCCCGGTCAACTGCTGATGTACTGATGATATTTGCGGAAAAGTTTATCATGCTCGAGATAAAAACACTGAAGCTGTAGCATTGGACATCTTTCAGGTCTTCTCCACAAACTGAAAAGTTACGGTGTCTCCGGATACTTTTTGCATTGATCCAGTCTTTCTTATCAAATCGTGAAATGAGTATCATCCTGAATGGCCACTCGTCTACATCCTTTCGTACAAACGCAGATAATCCCCCCAAGGTTCCATCCTTGGTCCTTCTCTATTTTTAATTTACAATGATGACTTTCCTGAGGACATCAGCTCTCAATTTGGTATCTACGCTGACGACACCGCAATTTACTTTTGCCTCGATAGTAAAGGCTGATCAGGCAGACAGGATCAAAATGGTAGCCAATGTCTAAAAAGACCTCCAGTCCATAGTTAACTGAAACAAAAGACGGCCTGTTAATTTTAATGCCTCCAAAACTAAACTTCTTTCCATTAATCATCTGAGTGACCCCCTTGCTGCCTTCCATCAGCATGGCTGATGCTAACCCCCAGGAAAGTGACTCATTGTGCCTTCTCAGGCTCACATTCTCTGCTGATATGAAGTGGAAAGACTACATTGAATCCATTGTTAGGTCAGCTGCTAAGAAAGTTGGTTCACTAAGTCAGGCGAGACAATATTTCTCTCCAGAATCTATCTGTTATATACCGTAGCTATGAACACTAATGGTATGTCCCAATCCTCATAAATACGTTGGACACTATTGTAAGTGGGGGTAATATATGTGGTTTACCTACTTCACGCTGCTGGCGAGTATTGTATTTTGTTGATGTTGTAAGGATTAACATTTCATTTCCAACCCCCGTTTTGGTTATTCCTCATTAAGTAACCCTTTCTAGGTTGCAATATTATATTACATATCTATGTCTACCATTCGTCCATGCTTAAAATTTTGCTGCCATATATGGCCCGGTACCCCTGCTATTTACCTTGAGCTCATTGATAACATCCAAAAAAAGAATCAGCAATATTATTGGTCCTGATCTGCCGTCTCAGCTCCAGTCATTTTCCCACCGCCGTAAAGTTGCCTCTCTGTGTCTTTTCTATAAATACTTTCATGGTAATTGTTCGGATGAGCTATTCGCTATGGTAACAAGAGATTTTGAATTTAAGCGCAGTACTCGACTGGCGTCGAGATCTCATCAATTTACAGTTGAGCTGACTAGATGTAACCGTAACAGTTTCTTTTCTCGCACTACTCGCTTGTGAAACTCCCTTCCGGCTCCATGCTTTCCAGCCAACTTTAACCAGCAAAAATTTCAATGCAATATCAATCGTTAACCACTGCCTTCCCAATGACACTTTCTTTTCCCGCTCATTATTACTGTTTCTGTTCCTAATTCTTACATACCCTGAAAGCATTTTTGTTTTACTGACATTACCGATTTGCTTGGGGTGATTCCGATAAAAAAAAAAAAAAAAAAAAAAACAGAAAAAAATACATTTCACTGAAGCAGACATAAAACACTTCTATCTTCCCATTTTCCTCCCTTTTTTCTTTCCTTGTTTGTTTTGTTTCTTGTTTCTTCCTTTCTTTCTTTTATTTGTTTTCTCACTGAAACCAAGTAGCGTCTCTGATATGTCTTTTCTGTCTTTCTACGCGATCAAAACGGAATATTCCATTATCTAATAGGTATTGGCAGGGGGTAACGGTCGTGCTATTTAAGGGAGACAAGTAGAATTATAATATGTTTTTTTTTCTTTTCTTTTAACGTTTCTCTCTTTTCTAGTTTTCTTTTGTCATTTTTAACATATGTCTGTTTTTATTGCACACGTACACTCTACATTTTTACCTAGCCTCATATACTGAACAATTGGAATGTCGCTATTATCTCAGCCACCAGGCTGACTTTAATTTCCGTTTGATTCTGATTCATTCACTTTATTCGCACTAATGCTCTTGGAAAAGGCATGAATCCATCTTTCAATAACTAGGGTTAGATAGCAGGGCAGACGGGTTCTCTTACCTTGAATGGCAATCAGTCTAGGAGAAAGAAATCTCAGTATTTAAAACCATGCGGTAGAAAGTATGACCCCGTCACACTATCTTGCACCAAAGTCATATCACTGCCTGCTCTCGCAGCAGAGTGCATATGGTGGCCCTAAGAACCTAATCGGTTAAGAGACCCTTGTTTGGGAAATGGTGCCGCAGACCAAATGATTTGAGATCCATTTCTTTCTCCTTTCCAATTCTCCTCTTCGACCGTTCTTTCTATCGACATGAATTTCTGTTGTTAATTTTCATCATTCACCATGTTCTTGTTTAAGGCATGTACCCACTTCCCCTTGCTCTCTGCAACATTATAAGAAATCTTGCCAAAATTACACGACGCTTGACAGAAGAGAGTGAGTAAGTATTTGGACAGTCCACTTATAGGTAACGTTTGGACAGTAACAACTGCAAAAGGGACATGGAAAATCTCATGTTTCTTCCATCGCCTCTAGGAAAATATGGGCGGGAATTGATCACCCGGTAAAGAATTTCCAAGAATCACGAGAAAAGTGAAAAAAATGATTGGAATATCGATTTGTTAAACGTAGCCTAAAGTATGAAGCACCTAGTGAGGATCGAACTCAATATTCAGTTTTAATTGATCTAGCAGAGTAAGATGGCCAGCCATTACACCATTTCAAAGTGCCCCAAACGATTTTCTGAGCGCAAGGCCGAAAATATGGGGCACCCAGTGAGGATCGAACTCGCTATTCAGTTGTAATTGATCTAGCGAAACAAGCTTCTTAACAATTAATCCATGTCGAGGTATTGGAGTATATAAAAATATTTTTTTTAAATCATTTCACTCCAAGCAAGGCAATAAAGCCACTAAGGCGCAAATGGTTACTGAGTGTGAAAGAATATAAGAAAAAGAAAAACATTAAAAAGGAGAGAAAACAAAAAAGAACAGGAATTAAGAAGACAGAAGATAACGATTGACATAATATTTAAATTTTAATCGCTTCTTTTCAAGCAAGGCAATAAAGCCACTAAGACGAAAGGGGTTACTGAGCGTGAAAGAATATGAGAAAAAGAAAAGCATTATTAAACAGAGAGAACAATAAAAGAAAAAGAAGAAAATGTTAGCAGGGAACTTACGGTTACATTAGCAATTTAGATAGTAAAATGATGAGACCTAACTGCCAATCTAGTACTGCGCTTAAATTCTAAGTAATCTAGTGGAAGTTTCACCAAGACAATTGCCATGGAAATATTTATAGAAATATTTACAAAGTTCATCTTAGGTGAATACCGAATAGTCGAATGAGTGACTGGAAACTTTCAAGAACCTGACTGCCCTGAAAATCAGCATTAGAAATCTAAGTCTTACGTGCAAGAACACCGAACTTTAGTTCCGATGGGGGAACGTAAAATCATCTCCAGCTAAATGTGTGTGTGTGTGTTTGTGTTCAAAGACTTACTTATCCCAATAGTTTCATATGGAAGCCATACATCAGTCGAGTTAATAATATGTCTCCAGACACGGAAACATTGATGACGAAGTCGACTAATAAGACTGAAGCAAAGACAAAAGAAATGTTTCCGCCATCTACGTGGCGATACGAAGAGAGAGGGAGAGAGAGAAGGAGAGAGAGAGGGAGGAAAGAAGAAAATGAAAGAGAAAGTGGAAGAAGAAGAAGAAGAAGGAGGAGGAGGAGAAGGGTGAGGGGGGTTAAAAAAATCTACAATGTAAGTAAAATATAATCATATCTGGCTGCCTATTAACCGGGATTCTTCTTCGAATCAATTACGAATGTCTGACATTGTGGCCATTACTAGTCTTCTTCATTTCAATTCAATTTTCGGGCTCATGGCACACAGAAAATATGTGAATGTCGGTCGAAAGAGATGCGCTGATGAATAACTGTCTTGTTTGCAGGCTCGTAAAAGGCGGCAAACTATTTGATAGATAGATAGATAGATAGATAGATAGATAGATAGATAGATAGATTATTCGGACTATTGTCCTCATCTTTGTCGCCATATTTCCTTTCGGCCATTGTACGCTCCGGCCTTCTTCAGGTGGTTGGAATGTCGAACTAAACCCTTTATTTCGCTCACTGGGGTAGACTGTTCTAGTTCCACATGCCATGTCTAATGGATGTCAGTTATCAGTTATCTCCTGTTAATTCCCCTCCCTAAGTTCTCCACCACCTTATTATTGAACTCACATTCTTTAGGTCCTGTCACTCGATCTAACCAACGACTTTATCCACTGTGCCATGTGTCCTTGAGGATATCTGTGTATGAATTTCTGGGTATTATAAACCTAATGTCTTCAGCAAACATTTTTACCAGCGCTCATATTGCAATTTTTTGCTGTTATCATTGCATATTTTTTACCAGAGCCCATATTGCAACTTTTGTTGTTATTATCGCTTTTCTCTGGCACACCTTATTACTGGTTCCCATATTGTATTAATTTCTATGCTTGGTCGGCTCAGGAGATTTTTCTGGCCTAGCATATTTACTGATTCTTTAAGTTTACGAATTTTTCAATGATGTTCTTTGTCTATGATTTCAACCTGATCCCACAAGTGGTGGTGATCTCCCTTCTCTCTCCATATGTGGTCAACCGCGCCTGATTTTCCACTTCCCCTCGTGTTACAACTTTCTGGTGTTCTTGAAGCCTTACCTTAGGGGGCGGCCTGTCTCCCCTTTATATTCCTTTCCGCAGCTGCACAGGATAGCGTACACACAGTCTTTAGTCATGTTCTCCTGTAGGGGGGGGGGGAGTCTTACTCAGGAGAGATATCTGCGAAGTGTCGTCCAGCTTCGTCCTGATGTTATATGAACCGCAGATCCTTTGTATTTTCTCTGATAACCCCTTCACATAAGGCAGGCAGACTGTTTTCTGAGTATTGCTGTCCTCCTCTTGTACCCGCCTATCCCAGTTTTTTTGGAGCTGCTGCCATGTACCCAGGGTAGTTGTTACGTTGTAGGGTACTACTTATACTGACCAATAGGCAACAAACAGATACGTAACAGACTTAGATAGATATATAGATAGATAGATAGATAGATAGATAGATATGAACAGACTGAGATATATAGATAGATAGATAGATAGATAGATAGATAGATAGATAATGAACAGACTGAGATAGATAGATAGATAGATAGATAGATAGATATGAACAGAATGAGATAGATAGATAGATAGATAGATATGAACAGACTGAGATAGATAGATAGATAGATAGATAGATAGATAGATAGATAGATAGATAATGAACAGACTGAGATAGATAGATAGATAGATAGATAGATAGATAGATAGATATGATATGAACAGACTGAGATAGATAGATAGATAGATAGATAGATAGATAGATAGATAGATAGATAGATAGGCAACAGGTTTAGATATATAGGTAACTGACTTAGATAAGCAACAGCCTTATATATATATATATATATATATATATATATATAGAGAGAGAGAGAGAGAGAGAGAAAGTGAGCGCGAGAGAGAGAGAGAGATATGAATAAAGTATTAAAGACATGGTTTGCTAAGTACAGAGATTTTTAAACAATATAGATGTTGCCGATTTTAAAAGTACACGACTGAATTCAAGTACTGACCGAATTCAATTCCAGACTTTTATCTAACCTCTCAGTAGGAAAAGGCATACAATGACCTTAGCTACTATGGACACATCCTAGATTGATGTAGATCTTTATGCCATAGGTTTTGTTTTCTAGAAAGTAGTCAAAAGAATTATGACTTCATTTTTCTTCCATTCGTCTGAAGAATGTTTTATTTTCTTTGACTCAGCAAAAAATACATTTTTAGACACTCTGAGATTAAGTTTTGTCGTTATTCGTTCAGTATTTGGACGATTATCCTCATCTTTGTTATTTTGTCATGAGTTCTTTTCCAAGAAATAAAACCCAAGAGAAACCTTTCAGAAAAAGAAACTATTAACTGGAATTGGAATGAAAGATGTGATGGCACCTACGCCAGATCTGTTATAAAAAGTCAGGGTAGGGGATTACTCAATACTAAACACTTCAAATTACTGGATTAATCAGTCACAAACCTGCTTGCAAGTGAGGTGGATAGACTTCTTCTTGATCTTCCTTTTGTGAAGCCAAGCCATGATGATGATGAAACACTTCAAATACCTCGATGTAGTCAATTTAGTATAAGAGATAAGGAAATTGAACTTAGAATAGGTTGCGCTTTGAATAGTTTCAAACAATACCTCAAATTGCTACACAACCAAAAGACTCGGGTCAGGTTCTTATCTAGTCTTGCCAGATTATGACTTTCATGGAGATGTCAGAAATGGCGCCAAACCCGTTCAGAAATATCTAAACTGTCAACAACCAACCTTCTCAGACCAATAATTAAAAATGGCTTCGACCAAATGAAGCCTGTAGATCCAGACGAGGACCATCCTTCTTCGAAACTCTTGGACTGGCGCAACACAATAACAGACAAAGAATTCTACCAAATAACTGAAACCACATCAGTCGAAACATCGGATTTTGGGCCCCACGGCGCATATTAGCCAGTCCAGTTTCAGGAGATCTAATTTTTTTTTTCTCTAAGCTGGTTCAGTCCGTTCAGAATTAAAAAAAAAGAAAAAATACTTTGTCTTGCTAGTGTAGCAGAATATATAAAAAACAGCGTTCCTGACCCCCCCCCCACCGAGGCGTGTGTGCTGACGATGTGGGGAGGTTACTGTACCGACGGCATTGTTATTCATAATTCTTATAAGAATGACATTGAACAACACATTAGCATCGTCTATCAATCGTGCCAATCAATAAAACGAAAGATAAACATTTCCAAAAAACAAAAAAACAAAAACTGTGACCTGGAATTGAAATGAACGCAACGATAGTATCAACTCGGATGCTACTGTCGGAGTTATCTCCCCATGAATTCCCTAATTGTTCACTAGGGGTCGCTCTCCCTACACTATAAATACTGGACGACTTCTTGTCTCGTTCTCTTTTCTACTTTGCATTTCAGCGGACACATTTAAAAATGTGATCTCTCGTAGAAATCCGCGTTTTCGCCCACTTGTGGGAAAACGCCATTAAACACACATACACGTACGTACGAACATTCACCAATATACAAACTCTTTACGTTCATACACCAACATAAATGTTGATGTCTTTGTCATTTGTAAATTTGTCGTTTAATACATATATTTGTTGACATATATATATCTATCGGTCTTGTTTGTTTTCTTTACATCTTCGGTTGGACTCAACTTGATTCCGCCATTTTCTTGTATTTGGACCTTCTTCTAGCAGGAAATAAACATCACGTGTCCCTAATTCAACAACACGCAAACTCACACGGTCCTCTACGCTATAATAAAAAAAGTTTTAACATAAACCTTGAGTCAGGCTCTTAAATAATCTTGTCAGATCAAGAGTTTCATATCATGGAGCCGAACTTGTTCAAAATTTTCATTTCATAAATACACCCCAAACCAATTTTAATCATGTACGTAAATCATTAAAATACAGTATTTATCGGCCAATAAGTCGCGTATTTTAAAAGGGAATTTCTTGATAGATGAAGATTGGTTTGGTTTACAGCATATCAATCTTTTTCAAGGTATTTAGCAAATTCAATCGTTTTGAAAAAAACAAAAACAATAAATAGCTAGGCATAGGTGCGAGTCATAAAGGCAAGGATAGATACGCCAAACAAGCAAACCTATGGAGTTAATCGGCGTATTCTTGACCCCAAGCGACAGAACAATGATGAGTGAGGAGGCTCATTGCTTTACAACATGAATTTTATGTGTTCGGTCCCCTATCTATAATACTAGTGCGCGTGACGCAGTGTCATCCAAGGTACATTTTTAGGTGGAGAAAAGCGCATATCGTAATCCATTAAATGCTGCATATCATTCTGCTTGTTACCCAATGAGAAAAAAAAAAGAAATATTTTCATCACAGTGTTGGATAATATCAACAATTAGCATTTTGTGAATAGGAGTAGAATCGAAACTAAATCCGCGGATTTTGATCAAGTATGTAACACTCTTTTAAAAAAGATAAAAACAATTAATTTTTTTTAAAAGTCTAAACCAATGAATTGTCTTTAAATAGACTAAAAATCAGAAACTGCGTCAATTTGTGGCTTGTTCATCTGATTTTATTCGCAATAACAATCTATTTCTGAATTGTGATGAAAAGACATTGATTCCGGACAGTTTAAAACTATTACATCTATTACTACTACAAGGTGTAAACGCATAAGAGAAATAACATGAAGAAAGACTCAGCAAGAATTATCTAATAATAATTATGCTTGCCCGCCTTTCGTTAGTTCGCACGACCGTTACGCCCTGCCAGTACCTCGTAAATAATGAACTATTCCGTTTTGAACGTGTAGAAAGAAGGAAAAATACGCTACTTGGTTTCAGTGAGAAAATGAAAGAAAGATAGAAGTGGGGAAAGAGACAGTCAGATGAAATTGATTAGAACAGATACTACACTTTGATCTTGTCAGCGTTTTTTTTATTTATTTTGGCGACCGCGATAAAAGTGGCATTTTGCAGACGCACAGAATCAAACGACAGAAACTGAATAAGGCAATCGCTAAAAATCCAGTTACCATAAATAAAATAACATCGTCGACTGAATTATTTCAAAAATATTATTAAGAGAAATGTTCGTAAGACGGGGATTTGAAAGAAAGAAAGAAAGAAAGTGAGAAATAAATAAAGAAAGAAAGAAAAAAGAAAGAAAGAATGGAAGATCGAAAAGTTTAACGTCTCCTACCAATAACTCATAAATAATGAACTATTCCGTTTTGATTGTCGAGAAAAACAAAAGACATGCGCTACTTGGTTTCACTAAGAAAATAAAAGAAGAAAGAAAAAAGAAGGAAAGATAAAAGTGTTTAAAGTTTGTTTCAGTGAAATGGAAGAAGTCGTCAATTTCAAATCTTTTGATTTGTACCCCCTTATTTCTTATTATAACGCCCAGCGTTCATATTGATGATTGTTATTTCAATATTTTGTTAAAGTTGTTAAGCTCAAATATTTAATGATGCGATGGAGAGGCGGAATTTCTACGGATATTTTATTATCATAGAACTCGCCATGACCTTATTCAATCATTAACTGAAGAATTAAGATTCATCAGAATATTAAAATAGGAAACCCGTGAAATTTTCAGTTAAAAACTAGTTTACAATCTTTGATGAGTGTACAACGCACCCAGAATACAAAGGCCAGGTCCAACAGCAACAAAGAAACAAAATTAAATGTAAAGAGTTCTTTAAAACAAAAGACATATCAGAGACACTACTTGGTTTCACTGAGAAAAGAAAGAAAGAAAGAAAGAAGTGTTTAACAGATGTTTCATTAAAATGTAAAAAGTTGTCAATTTCAGATGTTTTTATTTGTACCCACTTCTTAATATAGAGACCAGTTTTCAAATTTATGATTTTTATTGCAATATTTTGTTAAAGTTAGCAACTTCAAATATTTAACGATGCGTCAGAATACATATATTTTATTGTCGTAAAACTCGCCATGGGCTTATTTAATCCTTAACTTAAGAATTAAGATTCATCAGAAAATTCAAATAGTAAAACCGTGAAATTTTTGGAAGTCTTTCTAGTTAATGATAACAGAGGTAAGAAGTCCGAACAACCTAAGAATATACAATTTTTAATATATTTTCTCTGTCAAAATCTGACGGGTCAAATTCTTATTCGGCTTAAAAGAGAAAATATAGACATTGAAAATTGCTTTTCATAAAAATTCCATTATTAAGCTTAATAAATTCAATAATTAGCGATATACAGTGAACTACCTTAAACTTAGTTTAAGTAACCTAAAAAGGCTCCTTCCTTGGCCTGAATTACAGTGGCTACGCGACGTGGCACAGGTACTGGAATCTAGTTCAAGCCACAAAATTTGAGCTACAATCGAAATCAAACTGATATATCGACCTGATAACGCTCATTTCTTTAGAAAGCTTCAAAATGAGGATCGACCATAATGTTCTCCAAGATTAAGGATCCCAATAAGGATCGACAACAGTGTTCTCCAAGAGCAGAGCTCCCCAATGAGGATCGACCTTAGTGTTCTCCAAGAGTAACGTAGCTTAAGCATTCAACTATAGAAGCGCCCAGATATTTACAACGCTTAAAAGAGCTTGTTGCCCAATGAGGATCGAAACCATTACACTAAAGAAAAGGTATCCAAAAAGGAGCCACCTGAATATCCCTTGGCGGTTGCCCATATGTGTGCTTTGTGTGTCCCCTTTGAATGTCGATGTGTCCCGATATTCGCATCTGTGGAACTGTGCAAGTAAGTTTCTTGGGGATCTCTCCTCGCCCGGATTGACAAACAGCTGACACTTGCCGTTTCTGTCATTCTCGTCCCCGACCTCTGGAACCAACCCCCCTACACAACGCCCCACCCTACCCTGCAACTCGTTAATATCTTATCCTCGCTTCTTATCGGCATTCGTGCTGATAGCCTCGGCCCACCTGATTCAGTCCGCCCTAACACCACCAATTATCTGAATGCCTTGCCTCCAAGCCAACTTCGGATCACTCTTCACGGCGAACAATTCCCACTGGATTAACACACTGACACCCCCAGATGACAGCCTTCGTTCCAGAGAAACATGACTACCACTTTCTCTCTCTCTCTCTCTCTCTCTCTCTCTCTCTCTCTCTCTCTCTATCTATCTATCTCTATATCTATCTATCTATCTATCTATCTATCTATATATATATATATATCTTTCTCTCTAGCGTGCGTGCTCACTTATTCCGACTTCTTCCTCTTCTTTTAAGATGAAGAAGAACGGAATTGAATTGATTAATCTTTCTCTGACGTGAAAAGAATCAATCAAGTTTTAGTATTGAGAAATTTAAAAGGCTGCAGATGACAATATATATATATATATATATATATATATATATATATATATATATATATATATATATATATTTATATATATATATAATACGAACCTAAAAGAGCCAGGCAAACTTACCTAGGTTTTTTTTCTTTGGACTCTGGGTTTGGATTCTGGTCGATTGTTTTCGCCTCAATTTCATGTTCTTAGTTCTTTTCTATTTTTATTCTTATTTTCCCTTGAGTATTGGTTTGTTCATTTAGAAACCAAAACACCTAAAGGTCTTTCGGACAGTTATACTTACTTATATTTATATTATTATATATATATATATATATATATATATATATATATATATATATATATATATATATATATATATATATATATATATATATATATATATATATATATATATATATATATGAAATGAACAAAGTCCGACATTTTCATAATATATATAATTTCATAATGTGTGACGTCATTTGTTTACATTTGGATACGCATTGAGCACATATGAATGTACCTGACAAAATCATGGAGAATTGTATTTTAAAAATAGTAAAATCGATCTTGCTAACCGAAACGCTCCTCTGTGGCGAAATCGGTAAACGCACGTCACGGTTCCGTATAGGATACAGGTTCGATTCCAGTCCGAGGACGCATATTTTCTATGACAATTTCTCGGACATTCAGGCCGGTAAATGTTGTTTAATACTGTTTATTATAAACAGAGCATTTACTTAAATATTTGTATCTATAAAAAGATCATATATATATATATAGATAGATAGATAGATAGATAGATAGCTGACCACTCTTATTCGAGGATACCCGTCTATTAGGACGGCTAACCAATCCCTATTGTAGACGCTCGCTCAGGCACATTTGTATTTGTTCAACAGCCACTTAGCCCACCTGTAGTTTATACTGCAACTATGCAGAGCAGACCTTAGTTACAGTTTCTGCGAGAGAGCGTGTTATCTAGCAGGATCAACAATTTGAACAAGGCCAGCACACTCAATCCCTCGGTCACGATGACTTGTGACTTTGTGCTAGCACAGCTGTCGACGGCCCCCAAGGGTTCCGTATACCCACAGTGGTACAGAGGATAAAGGCGTTAGTTAGATCCAGTGACAGGAGCCAAAGAGTGTGAGTTCAATACCCGGTTAAGGCATTGGAGAACTTTCAGAGCACGTGGAACTTTCATGGCACGTGGAACTAGAACAGTCTACCCCAGTGAGCGAAATAAAGGGTTCAGTTCGTCATTCCAACCACCTGAAGAAGGCCAGAGAGTGCAACGGCCGAAATAATGTAATAAATATGGTGATGAAGATGAGGATAATAGTCCGAATAATGTAAATAGACTCCGTCCTCAGTATCCATCAAGACGGGAAAGCTCACATCGCCTCCTCTGCCAATCCTTCCGAAAGGATCCGGAAGGAAAGCCTTGTCACTTTGATCCAAACCCTAAAGTTAACGGACGAAGAAATAGCACTGACTATTCAGTCAATGACTGCCGAATGTTTCCTTATAAGGAAACAAGTAATATTACGATATTATTATTACGATTGTGAATGTCTTTTAAAGGAATCCGAATGACCAACCGAACGTTTTGCCAGTTTATTTTAGGACCAGACATCTTGTTGTTTCTACTTCCTTCTGGCCACATTTTCTCTCAAGAAAGAAATCTGAGGTTAGGGCATTGATTTTGGCCAGTGGATCGGGTCCAGAACATTTCAGCCACTCCCCGCCTCGCAAGCCAGCTTCGCTAATTTTACAGCTGAAATTGCTAGATGTAACCGTAAGTTTTATGCTAATAGTTTCTTCTCTAGAAATTCTTGTTTGTGGAACTCTCTTTGGTTATCTTGCTTTCTGCTCAACTACGATCTACAAATTTTAAATGCAATGTCCATCGTCATCTTCTGTCTCCTTGAATCCTGTTCTTTTTATTGTCCTTTCTCCTCAGTAATGTTTTCTCAGTTTCCTTCTTGCTTTCCTCTCAAATACAATCTTCAAAAATTTAAATGCAACATCAATCGTCATCTTCTGTCTCCTTGAATCCTGTTCTTTTCATTGTCCTTTCTCCTTTGACCCTCAGTAACCCCTTGCGTCGCACTGGCTTTACCGCGTTTTTTTCTTGTGGGGGGGGATGGTTATAAATTACCCTCTTTATTTCTTTATTTCTCCATCGAAATAGAATTGCTCATAATATGTCAGTTCCCAAAGTTTTCCTATCTATTGAAGCGTTGATACTAAAAATATTTATATCGTTTGATTTGTTAAAATCTTTTTTCTGTAATTTATTTTACCTTATAAGAGGTAAAGAAAGTAAGTTTGTCATAAAAATGTCTGCTTCTCGTCCAAAGTCGATATTCAATAAATGAGGCACATTGGAATAAAATCAATGACTTCATTTCCTTGTGCGTGACGCCATTGATTGTCAAGATCTCACATCTCATTCAAATGACAGAGGACAGTCCTAGTTACGACGACGTCTCTTCTGAATTCCTTTGGTTTATGTCTGAGACATTATTCAGTGACTCTTCGGAACGAGTATCCTTATATAGTTTTTATCGAGAATTTCGTATCAATGTCACGCATGGCGCTAAACTCGTTCAGAAATATCTTAACTGTCAGCTGTATACAACCGCTTTCTAAGATCAATGATTTAAAATCGCTTCGAGAGCATAAAACCTGTACGTCTCGGAGAGGACCATCCTCCTTTGAACCTCGTGGACTGGCGCTACAGAATCACAAACAAATAAACTGTACCAAATAACTGAAAGCAAATCCCTTGAGGACATTCAGCAGTGACAACCAAAATGGAAAGGGCATGTAACTCGAAGGGGAACTAATGATATGATCAAGATGACGTTCCACACTACTTCGAAGGAAATGTTTTGAAGGTATTATAATGCTCGTAGTTTCTGGTTAATAATATTGTATGAAATACTGGAACAAAAGATTAATGAAAAAAAGATTTAAACCCATGATAGACATGGGTTAATAATAGGGAGAGATAGAGAGAATTTTAAATCTATTTTTATAAAGTTACTTAAGAGTAATGGAGGGGCTTAAGGACCAGACATTGACCAATTTAATAAGTCATCTCACAAAAAACGAGATAAAGAGAAAAAAAGAGGAGTAAATACATAAGAAATCAAATTTGGAAGCAGTGGGAGGAAAAAAGTAGGGAAAAAATAAAAGGAAGAACAAATTAACATATATTTTGGCATATTGCAGTTTATTTTTAATTTATAATATATATATATATATATATATATATATATATATATATATATATATATATATATATATATATATATATAGAATATTACATTGAAATTGTCTTTATTTATGTTAGAATTGTACACTATTCGTTCTCATCTTACCTGAGGATATATATATATATATATATATATATATATATATATATATTATATATATATATATATATATATATATATATATATATATATATATATATATATAATTTCATAGTTAAAATATACTTTTGTAAAAATAAAATAGTCAGCAAATTCATTAAACTGTCATTTAATTCCAAATCCTATTATGTGTGTTTAATAGGCGATCGTAATATTCAAAATTAACTTGTTTATTCAGATAGAAAGAAAGAAAGAAAGAAAGAAAGAAAGAAAGAAAGAAATTAGCTGTGATGGATAAAAAGGTAGAACGGATAAATTCTATTACTTGTGTTTAATAAGCGATCGTAGTATAATGTTTAATATATGAATAGAGTATCTACTTGAATATGGCATGAACGAAATTGTTTAAGTAATAAAATATATCGGATTAATAAATGAATAAAGATTAATGCATAAAAATTGTCTTTGTTTTATGTTAGGTTACGAAACTTAGAAGAGATTTATATTTCGAGAATCGACAAAAATCTTCTTTAAAAGCACAATTCCGGCTTTGCTTGGACATCAGGTTAAAGTAGGTCAGATCTAATGATTTTTTGGAAAGATATGGACAGGCTGAGATAGATAGATAGATAGATAGATAGATAGATAGATAGATAGATAGATAGATAGATAGATAGATAGATATGAATAAACTGACAGATAGATAGATAGATAGATAGATAGATAGATAGATAGATAGATAGATAGATATGAATAAACTGACAGATAGATAGATAGATAGATAGATAGATAGATAGATAATGAACAGACTGACAGATAGATAGATAGATAGATAGATAGATAGATAGATATGAACAGACTGAGATAGATAGATAGATAGATAGATAGATAGATAGATAGATAGATAGATAGATAGATAGATATGAACAAACTGAGATAGATAGATAGATAGATAGATAGATAGATAGATAGATAGATAGATAGATAGATATGAACAAACTGAGATAGATAGATAGATAGATAGATAGATAGATAGATAGATAGATAGATAGATAGATAGATAGATAGATAGATGTGAATAGACTGGAACATAAATAGATATGAATAGATAGATAGAT